TCTCTTTACCAATTCAAGTGGAGCTGGCTTGCTCCTGCCGCCACCGGTTTTTTAAAGAACAGCTGGAGCGAAGCGTGGGCCCGGCGAGCACACGCAGTCTGCAGCACGCACGGCTTGCTCTCTTGCTCTGTGTGCTGTTATTCTTTGGGGCTCGATGATGTTTTGGCTTTTGCACAAAGAGCTTCATAGTTGGGGGGGGGGGGGGGGGGGGGGCTGCTGGCCGCTAAAGGGGGAGGGAAGTTTCCCTGGCCTCACTGACATTTCCCTGAGTTATTAGCCAGTGCTTGACCTTTACCTGCAGTTGCCTTTTCCTTTCACTCCCAGGGTTACTTGTCATGATGGCCACTGTTTAGCCATACCCTCGTGTTCAAGGTCTCATGTCAAAACAGCAGTGGTTTAGCCCACGTTAGCACCGTCAGGTTAGGAGTAGCTCCACTAACTTGCATCGGTGGCTCTTCTTGTTTGAGAGCTCCAGTATTGCAGATTGAAATAGGGAGGAGAGGAAGCCTTTGATGGAGCGAGAACTGTCTTTAGGCTAAAACTGTAACCTGCACTGAGATAACACAGATTATAGCCATCTGCTGCTGTAATCCTCTAGGAAGCCTCACCGTACTGTATGAAAGAGAAGGACCCATGTAAAATAACACCTCTTTTTTTCTTCTTTTCAAAGAAGAGCAAGAACCGTGAGACCTGACATCTACTAGGCATTAAGAATCAACTGCATTTCAAATCATCCTCTCCTTTTCCGGCTGAATCATTATAACCCAGAAATTGCTTTCTACTGTCATTAATTGCACAGTCATTTTAATACGCTCTCTAGATTTCAAATACTGATCGTAGAAGGACAGATTTATATGTTTTGGCTTCCAACTCAGTCTGTAGCTTGTGATCTGGGACAGTGTAATTCTAGCTACTGGCTAGACATATGGCAATTCAGGTGCAGGCTCCCATTAAAAATAAATTAGGAATGAAATATAGTTTCTATAACATGTAGTGTAAATTCATGCTTCCCACTTAGGTGTTTTCCAGTAGTTTACAAGTGGCATGATGAGCATCTGTTGCATTTACAGTTGGAAAAATTGATTATTTTTAGGTCTGTTTTAAAACTGAAAATTTGGAAGAGGTCAGTCTTGGAGGTGCAGAGGTATTAAGCAGGATTAACGCTCACAGACAACCTTTAAACACGTTTCTGTAATGAAATTCAATATAACAATTTAGCAGACCTGTTTGGGAAACTGCATTAGACAAAATGGACTGAGTGTAAATTTTCATATTAGTTTTAGGGTTTGGAACAAGCTACAAAGCTGCAGTCTGGAGATCAGGTTTCCAGCTGGAGGCTTGATTAGATCCAGTGCCTGCCTATCCAGAAAGTTCAGATGTGTATCTGATGCTTCCTAAATGTGCGGAGATTACAGGTCTAATTTTTGGTTCTAATTAATATCTCTCATATAATGTTTTTTCCAGTGCCCTTACTCCAAAGCACATGCTTTTTTATAGACCAACACAGTCATAATCAGTCAATGCCACAGAATAAAAGCTGACAAGAAGCGACATTATTTAAAATGATAGGCATCATCCAGATTTCTGGGTTTTGTCTTCTGTTTTACTGCCTCATGTTAAGTTCAAAAAGTGTGCAGAAGAGCTTTGAAGTGCTCCTGATCGGCTCCTTGTCACAGCTCCCCAGATGTTCATCATGCATCGCTTGTACTTGCACAGTGACCCAAGTGCCTTTTGTAAAACATCACTGTAACATTTGTGACCTTTCTGACACACACAAGTAGCGCCATCAACACTTGCTCTCATTGTGCCTCATCATGTCGTGCATTTGGTCTGCTAAGATACCAATTTCTAATCCACAGAGCTAAAATTAAGCTACCAAAGATACAAAGGGCAACAGCTTCTCTTCCCCGTCTCAAAACCCCACCTTTCAGCCTTCGTGGTTTTGAGTGAAATTCTTCTGGGCAGTGGAGAGGAGGAACTCGAACTCTGCGCTAAGCTCATGACTTGAAGATTAATTCCAAGTGACAGCACTTACATATTTCCATGACAATCCTTAAGCAAAGACTGCTGTCATTAGCCAAAAAGTGAATACTGACATGCCCAAATGAATGATCTGTTCCCAACTGAGTTTCCAGTCGTGGGGTAATACATACAAAGTGAATGAGATAAACCAACTCTGGGTTTTCCTTTGTCAGTGGAAGAGGAGAAGGGGAGACCAAACCCAAATCTCATAGCCCACATTCAAACTCTTCTGCAGGTGACCAATAACCAGCACCAATTTCTAGCAGGAAATAAAAATTCCTAGGGTTGACAGATAGTCCATAGAGGAAGATGCTGACCAGTGAATGACTGACCTTCACTTTTCAAAGCCTAAAAGTCATTCACCATCCAAACTGTGCATCTAGTCAAGTGAAATAGTGGAAACTGGCAATTAGATAAAAATACAGCACAAGCACAGTTATATCACTTTTATGTAGAGCGTTTGTTACCCCGTAGAAATTCAACACACACGAGCCCTTCATATACTATTTCAACGCTGATCCTTCAGCATGAAATACAACAGCTCCCTAATAGGGTCCAAAGGGTGAATGTTTGTTTTAATTTGAAAATGAATCCCCACTGATTTGAAGCAATTAGGTACTGGGAAAGAAGAAACTCACTATTTCTTTAGACCCTTCTCAAAAGTAGCCAGAATGGCCAAAATCCAGAAAGGGATACTTAGGAGTTTTTAAAATTCCATTTACACGGTTTTCTTTCTCATTGGCTAAAAATGTTAAAGAAATATTGTACCACCTTCTCATGGGGACTTCAAAACATTTCCAGTTTTGCCAACAGATGCAGGAGGGAGAGAGGCCTGATACAGTAGTTCAGCAATTTATGGGATGAATAGATAGCCTTACCCCAACACACTTCAACTAGGGACTTTTTTAAATCACAGAATAGCTGCCACAACAGCCCTGGATGTAAAATCAGAAAATGAGTTTAGGTGAAAAGATTGGGGCTAGCTGTCTTGATGCTAAACCAAGGTGATCACGCAGTTCAGCCTTTAAACATACCCTGCGTTTCTCTTTCTTGGCATCTGAGCATAGATGAGGGTGCACGCCGTCTTTACAGACTAATGCATAATAAAAAAGAGGGGACACACACAAAAAAGGGGCCCTGGCTACTGCAGCTATAGGGAATTTGCTGGAGCACGCTGTGAGTGCATCGGCCTGGGTGTGTTGGCATGGGCCCCAGGCGGCATCCGGGGCCGCGGGGCGCTGTGACCTGTCGGGAACTGTCCAGCAAGGGCTGCCTGAACACGCTGCGCCTCGGCCGTGAAACGCCGGGCTCCGCTCGCCTTCCTACGCTCTGCTGAAAGCCTGTTAACTGCGGAGAGCGGCAAGGGTCCCAGATACCTATAAACAGCGTTCCCATCTTAAGTTGGTGATGTGTGGACTTTGTCACGTGTTTGCACCGCAACATGCCATTCTGGGCAATTTCTAGTTGAAAAGCATGGCTAGGTCCATAAAGCAATGAGTAATTGATTTTTTTCTCTATTAAAGAAACCCTTAATATTATATCAGGAATTACAGAGAAAACATGACCTGAGGATGCAAGGGTAGTTCAGGAACTACACCGATGAGCTGAATCAAGAAGGAAACTTTTCCTCATTATACAGTGTTGGAGACCAGACCACCTACATTATAGGTGTTTCCCTTTTCTAAAGTCATAAAAAGTGTGGCCACTGGTGAAGACCTCTTAATCAAACCACAGTAGTATATGTGTCAGCCTGAGCTAATTGCATTCATTACCAATTTAGCCTATTTGGGCGTAGTTAAACATTCTTTTGAAAACTGATCTTAATTTCCCCATAGCACACCCTTTTTTTAAAGTGTTGTCAGTACTTTAGAGGCATATTTCTGCAACCTAGATTGTGCACAAACCCGTTATGTCAGCTATTTCCCATTCTTTACGTGAAGCTATTTGTAGCCATAATATAATTGAGCGTGTGGAGGCAGGTCCCAGGCCAAGGATAAGTACGTTGAGGTTATCGTACAGTGTGCACCTCCTTTCCTGTAAACAGTATAATCCAAACCAAAAGTGGTTGATTGCCTACACTGTGTGCTGCAGTTTGCACTATATTAGTTGTACGGTGTTTGAAACTTATACCATAAGACCGGCTGACAATGAGGAACTAAAACCTCAAATCAAAGAATGCTTTTTAGAGAAATCTTGGAGGTTTTAGGATTTCACAAACAATTTTTTTTTTTGGATCGTATGATGGCCATCACTGTATTCATGCAGTGAACAGTGTAGCAGGCTCAGAATTTTTATTAGCTTGAACTACCTCCGACTCTTATTTATTTCTACCATATAGGTAAATCCAGTTTGATTTATTCTGGCAAATATATAGAAAATCCCACAGTTCCCCAAGAGGATGACCAAGTTACTTCTCTGTTAGTTGAAACAGATTCCGCTGGCCTATTTTTGGATATCTTGGGTGTACTTTCCCTTTTGGAGTACTTTCCACAGCGTTCTAGAGATTCTCATTTGCCAAAAGAAGTTTTTTTTCTTTCAGTAGGTTTACCTTAACTTCTGTAAACCTATTGTTACACCTAACTGCTGGGAAATTCAGACTGGTGTAACATCTCCAATGAAATAAATGTAGAGCACTAGGGAAGGAACTCAACCACCAGAGGACCTATGGAGTTGATACATTGACTTCATTTTTACAGTTGGGGAATAGATAGGAAAAGCAACTTTTAACAAGCTTGCACTGCAAATTAGTGAAAGAAGGTTAGAAATGGGGCATTCTGATTTGTAATCATTGGCTATGACCCGTAGATGACACTGCCTTTTGTAAGCAGGCCAGATATCACTGAATAGCTCATCCCATGCTACAGTGGGCTTTCTATGGGTAGTTAGCCACTCAGATCACCGATGCAGTGTTACAGTGCCACTCTGGTGATTGACCAGGAAAGGAACAGTTTTGCAAATCAATGTTCTTTTCCCTGCAGACTACAGAAATCCATTTGTGGAGATTCACCCAGAACATCCTCATATAATCTACATTTTAGATGCTAAGAAAACAGTTGTTGTCCCCTGCCGAGTTACCTCTCCAGATATCAAACCCAAGCTTCTACAGGTAAGTGACTGTTTCAGAGAAACTGAAATAATTCAGAGGTCTGGGCTGCCAACACAGTGGGTAAAAGTGCAAAATAAAATTCATGAAGGTAAGTTTCAGAAAAAAATACCAAAGGCACTGAAAATCCAGAAGCACAGTCCTGTTTTAGCAATGCAATAGAGTTGAACTGTGCACAAGGTTGTGGGGATTAGGCTGAGTTTGTCAAAGTGTTTTCCCATCTTGTGGCTTGATGTTCCTACAAGCATGGGCAAAGATAGAGGGCAACACAGTATTTTACTTGAAAATTCTTTGCAAGACATCTGGCTATTAGCTATCCCCATGAAAGCTTATCAGTTTTATACCCTGAGGTTTCTTCCTCTGAACAGCTGCCCATTTCTGTTTGATTGCATAAATTAGAACCAAGTTAGGGAAATGGCTACAGCTTCTATTCCTTCGGCAGCAGTTACATCTGAATATCAAAGCTGCACAGTAGCCTGTGGAAACCAAGGCCATTTTGTAGAATATAAATGGAAATTTAAGGTCAGGGGCTTCCTCAAAGCCTAATGAATTG